CCCGCTGCACCACCACCACCAGTCACCCCAACGACTTTTTATTAATTAACTTCTTTTAGTATTCTTCCCATATTTAAGAATAAAAGGTTTTAAATACAAACAATTCCTATATTATTCAATATTTATACAGATTATAAAGTCAAAAAATTTTAATAGTTTTAAACTAATTTTCAAATTTGCAAACTAAACAACTGAAAATAAGCTCATTCGAAAAATTATTTCCTTTCAATAAAAAACATTTTTCTTAAACAAAAATTTTTACAAAATTACAATTATTTTATGGGGAAATAAACGGGCGCCTAAGGAGCATGAGGCACCTATAGGTAAAAAACAAGTAAAACTATGTCTAAAAATTCAATTCAAGTAGCCAAAGTAAATGTGTAATAAAATTTGGGTTGGTCCTTTACACTCACGTGCGAAAGTGGGAAAGTTGGAAAAAATTTCATTGTTTGAAAAATCCAATTTAGTGAGCAATTCACATTTATCTATTGTATAGCTCACACAATGCTTCTTTTACAGACCTACTTGAACTTTTTCACGTATTAGGGGAAAAATTTGTTCGCTTGATCTGAGTCCCCAAAGTTATTGAACCATTTTATTGGTAATGGGAAGAACCATTATTTTAACCAAGTTCTTGTGATATGTTTAATAAACAAATGTTATTTCCACTAACTCTGAAATTATTTTTACATAATAAATTTTCAAAACAAATTCTTGCAAAGTGGACAATAAATAAAAAAGGGAATCAATACTAGCTCACCCTCGTTCCACCTTAATTTGTCTCTAGGGGCAAGTACCTCTCTGTATTCTTTTCTCACTTAATGAATTTCTGAAGTCAAAATATAATCCTCTAGTGTATTACAACTTTCATGGCCAAATTCATCATCCTATTATGCACCAAAATGATCTTTCATTCCACATATTAATAAGGATTATATTTGGGCACACCAATACTATAACTTGAATGCTACCGTCAACTTAATCCTTTAATAGAAAGGCATTTTGATATTATATTCAATTCACCAAAGGCTTAAAAGATCATAAAATCCAATTTCAGCTTGAAGCATTAAAAATCACAATGTTACAAAAAAACAACTAAATCTTGGAAAACAAGAATTAATCGTGGAGGCAGTGAATTTTATAGTTTTCTCTTCAGGAACAATGCAGCAACGGTCTTTGCTCCTTTCCTGTACATGTTATTGCCCCAAAGCTTATATCGTTCATCGCTCTAGCCAGAGCAGGAATCTTCACCATTTGGAAGAGACCAATCAAAAACAATGTATTAAAGAGGCTAAAATCAATGGAAGTTGCCTATGTAAGGCCATAGGCCAGTCCTTGGGCCACATTCTCCTTCCTGAACCAAAAAGGTAAGAAGGTTCTTAACAAGTTTTGAGTTTTAAAATTCTGTTAAACTTAGAGTCAAGAAAACCTTTTCAGGTTTAACAACCAGTTCTGAATCTTCCCCAAACTAAGGGATCACGTCCAATTTGCCCAGAGCGTTACTAATACTTCGAGTATTTTTTGGCACTAATGAACACTTCATAAGTTGCAACAAGGGCCTCAGTAGTAGCAGTCGAGGACATCAATTCAATTGCGAGAGGAGGTGTTGTTAATCTCAAGGTCTCCTTTCACACATGTAAGTTAAATTATGCGAAGTTTGAGAAACCTTGCAGGATTTCTTGAATGGGTTTTTCTATTAATTTTTGTTTCTAGCTCTTGCTTGGAAGTGTTTGTCATGCGCTTGTTTGTTCTTCGAAGAGAGAGAGAGTGCGTGCGAGTGCGTGAGTTGCCCCCACTCACACTGTCTTGTGGTAGTAGGTCCAAACACCAGCACTGAATAGTTCCTGCAACATAAAAAATTATGTTAATTATTGTCTTGTCCAGACCTTTTTTTATTCGAAATCCAAACCATTATTTTATGTCACTTTCAGAAAAATAATAAAATAAAAACTTCTGGTAAAGGAAATTTTTGCTTCACCGATAACCAGCCAAAATTGATATTGATCATCTCCATCCAATCCATTTTGAAAGGTAATACACCTCAAGAAATCTGTATTGGAAGTCATTATAGTTGCATTACGCATGTTCTTTCTTTCTCTTCTTTCCTTGATATGAAATTTCCCATTTTTATGCCAAACATTTCTTTAAGACACTCTAGAGATTTTTCTCTTATCTAATACCCTGAGGGATCCCAACCCTTGGCAAATGTGGGATAAAAATCTGCCCACATTAGGCAGCAGGCACCCAACTCCAATCATTCTCCACAACAAACTTTTCAATCCTTGATTTGTGCAAGCTAATTCAAAAGTTCCTTCGAAAAATAGCAAGGATTTAGAAACTTATATTAAAAAACCGGTAGCCAAGCACAATATTCTCCAATCATTAACAAAAACTTCTCCCTCTCTTCTACTTAAAATATTTTCTATTTCATTTCTGTCATTTTCTTTTCCCTTAAAGCCAGCTTGTGATTGCAAACTGCTCTTGGCAGAAAAAAGTCCTTCCTACATAGGCCTCTTGAAGAACTTCCACTTGACCATTGGCATGTGGACTGTTCCAAACCGAGCACTGTGCGTTTCAAGGAACATGGCCTTGTGAGAAAATCGCTTTTTTGGCGGATAGATCTAGCAGAAAAGCCAAAATCGAATCATGTTATTTTCAGAAATTTTCGATAGCTGCTTTGATAAGCAGCCAACAATGACAAACGGTATGATTGCCTAGCCTAAAAGTGAAATTAAAGGGGCCATGCGACTTTTGGCGCAATGTTTGTCAACGAAATGTAGTTAGGTTTTTTCCCAAATGAGCGAATGTTGCCTTTACGAAAGCCCATGCGCCTGGGGGCCTGAAGGAAGACGACATTGTTTTGATTGTGGAAAGCCCAGGAATGCTTCGGGATAATTGACAAATGATAGCGAAAGAAAAACCAAAGAAACGAAAGGTATAAGAGACTTGCAGAAAATGTTTGATCCATTTGCCGCAAAGAGACTGAAAAACAGTATTTGCAGAAGTGTTTTGATGAGGAGAGCTTTCATTTCCAAGGATCAAATAGAGCTTTTGCTTGAACAAAGAAACAAGATTCCGAGGAAAATCATTGATCAGATCCATAGAACAGCTAAGTTTCATTGGATCATTTTCATTATTATTTTGTTTGGGAAAAAAACGTGGCTTTATCTTTTTTCTGAAGACGAGTAGGCAAGAAGAACCACAAATCTCTTGAAAGTATTCAAGCTACTTGAGTCACTGCCGTAAATAAATTTTCCTACCCTAAATAGTAGCGGACCCAACATAAAATAGCTAGGAGCCAAAAAATAATTTTATTAATCATGGAGCATAATAAAATTAAAAAATAATATTTTTTTTACAAAAACTCTTTTTAATTAAAAATTGACTTTTTTTTTTTTTATTATTATTTTGGATGGCCACAGCGCCCTTGGCCTTGGGCCTTGCGTCCACCCCTGCTACCTTACAATATGATATTATTTGAGTGTATTTATTCACAATACATTAAATAAATAGATATTAGTCTTTTGATATTTATATATGCAGGATATTTATTATATTAATTTTAAATAAATATTATTTTTTAAAAAATAAAAAGAAAACCAAAAATTATAGATAACCCGAACATTGGGAAGTTGAGGCCTGTCGCTTGAAAATATGGATTTCTGGTGGCCCAAAAAAATACTCTGAGTCATTATTAGTAAATATTTGGGGCAATACACATGATCCCTTTTATTTTGAGAAAATTCAATAAAACCTTTTTTAAACCTGAAAGGTTTTCTTGGACTCTGGATTAGACTTTAAAACGCCAACACTTATGATCTTCTTACCTTTGGTTCAAGAAAGAAGGATGTCGCCCCAGGGACCAGCCCTTTTTAATGGCTACATGGCCGAAACTTCCCATTGAATTTCAGCCTCTTCAATATATTGATTTGATTGGTCTCTTCCAAAAAACGGTGATAGAACCTGCTTCCGCTAGACATTGAATGGATAAAGTTTCCACAACATTAACAGAAAGCAAGCAACACCTCCTTGCTTCAAAATGTTCCCTAGCAAAGAAAACTATAAATTACACATTTCCCCAATGTTCCGTGGCGCTACTGTTCCATTTTTCTAGAAGTTTGTTAATAATAACTTCTATCCTTTAGTTAAATTGGATTATGGATTTACGTTTCTGTGATTTCGAATATAATACCAAAATGCTTTTTTATTAGCTTCAAATTTGAAGGGAACAAAATGCTTTTTTATTAAATAAAAGTTATACCAGGCATTCAATTATCAGTTATGCCCCAATATAATCTTAATTAATTGGGTAATGGCTTCTCAATAGCACTGTGCTAAAAAAAAACCATAATGTTGCCACCTTCATTTGTACCAAAATTTTGCACACAAATTTAAAAAAAAAAGTGGAAAAGTGTGCTGAGTTTTGAAAAACAATTTTTTTGGGCAATTTAAATTATTAAACTGTAAGGACCCCAATTTTCTAAATGATTGGAAAATTATGGCCATTTATTTAGAAGAAGAAATTTAATTTTGGAAAGCTATTAATCAAATATTAAATTTTAATTAATAATGAATTTAGAAAACTCAGATCCATAAGTTGATTCCATGTAGTTTTTCCAAAAAAATAAAAAAACTCACTTCAACAATTAACAACCCAATTTAAACCCAATTCCCTTACAAAAAATTTTCATATGCATTTTTCAATTTTGGGAATAGACTTTTGGGTTGTGTTTGGAATGCTAATATTATTTTTACTCCAATATAATATTACTATTTTTCTGTCCTAACAAAAAAAAAAAAAGAAATCATATATATATATATATACTATAATATATAAAATAAATAATAATAATAATAAAGATCGGAGAACCAAAACACCAGGTAATATATATACCTATTAATATAAAAATTAATAAAGATCGGAGAACCAAAACACAGTATATATATATATATATAAAATAATAATAATAATAAAGATCGGAGAACCAAAACACAGTAGGTGCAAAATAAAATACAAAAACCATGCAATAAGAATTAATATTTACACCAGGGAATCCATCTTCATACAATTGCTTCCTTACTAACAGAATTATTTAATGTCTCAAACCAAATAGACAACTCTAATACCAGAAGACATAATTCAGGCCACTGTGCTTTTATGCATTGCCCTTGAGATGTGCTGGTGTATCATAATCATCTGCAAGACCTTGCCCATATTCACCCTTGCCACCTTTCTCCACCTCGTCAAAGTAGTCCTCTCTGGCATTATCTGCGAGCATAAGGGCAACTAGCCAAAAGAGGGCTGAATCAAGAGAAATAAAAGCACCACCTCCAAGAAGACCAGTCTTAGCAGTGGGGCAATCTGTCTCCATATTGTGATGAACTTTACGCATCAAGTGAAGCTGCTCTGTGATTGTTGGCCACAGCAGCAATGCAGCTGCTAGTCCTGCTGTAAACCTGCAATGAGAAAACACTCAAATAATGTTCAGTTCTCCATTTATTAAATTGACATGACTTAATTGAATATGTGATTGACAAAAATGCCATATAATTTCTTCTCTGTCTCTCTCTCTCTCTCTCTCTCTCTTTATCCTACTCTTTCTTTCCTCCCAGGCTCCTGTTTCTGTATCCTATTGCCTCCCCATTTCTCTCCTTTCCCCCCTGTATATGAAATTCATATCATTCCTTATTTTGCGTCATTCAATCTTCTTGAATCTAATTCATTTGTTTCAAACAGGCTGCAAAAGAAGATGCACTTGGTTTAAACTTTACCATTTGAGAGAGTGGGATTTAGGGGTTGGAGGAGGCACCCAAATATAATTGAGTCCCACGATTCAAGTCTAATTTGAGCTCAGAGATGTTTAAAAGTATATAAAATAGAAAATTTTTGCACAAGATAAGATAATCCTCACAAATCAACTTCATTGCTCACGGTATTTTTTTTGCTAATAACAATCACAATCAGCATTAATAGCATTCAACTCCAGCAAAAAACAGAATAAATGACATAGGGAAAGGAGAGAAGGGGTGGGTGGGTGAGTGCCAGACAGCTTCTTAGCCATTCGGCTTGTTTGATTAAAGCTAAAAAAACAAAACTTTCTGTTCATTTGAATTCAATCAGCTCAATAAGTAACGACAAGGGGCAAAACAAATAGATAAATATAACATTGCAAGATGAGAAAAGTGTGCATACACGGCAATGTTGAAGAAGACAACGAAACTGGTACTCTGAAACAACGCAGACTGAGGAATAGATTTTCCTTTGTAAGGATAAAAGAGAGACCAAAACCCTGCCAGTGCAGATAAGACAAGAAATGCAAAAGAGAGATATCCCAAGGCCACAGTTGGATCAGATGGATACTTGCAAATAACAACACCTTTTCCAGTTATGGGAGTTCCAGCTGCAGGCTATAGAAAGCCCAGGAAAATTATCAAAAAAACATATATATATATCAGACCAAAAAGCAAAATAACACGAAAAACCAAACAAAAAAACAGAAAATTAATTTACCTTCTTATTCTCTGCAATTACCCCAAATATGAAGGACAGTGTCCCCAGAGTCGCAACAATTACAGACATTTGCCGAACAGTAACAGCCATAACTTGATGCTTTTGCCAATAAATTAGAGAAAAAAAATTCAGATACAGAAAATCAAACAATTCAGTGTAATAATTACAAATCCATATCACAAACATGAAATCATTTAATTGACAAGTTACTAAATCAAAAATCGAAACAAATAGTAAGAATTATTAGAAAAGGCAGTAAGATTTAAGAGATTGATTACCTGTAAAGATGAACAAGAAGAAAGGGATAAGAGAGGGAGATTCGAAGCAAAAACGGCCTTAAGTCCGATTGACCTAATCCTATTCCCCTTTCTCCGAGTCAATATAATAAAGCAGGAAAGTCCTTATCAAGTGTGATTCTAAATTCCAGCCGTCAGTATCTCCCTATCGGTCGGGCAATGCTGCATCGCTAGTGGTGCTTTTTTCTAATTTTTTAAGTTTTCATGGCTAAAAACCAAAAAATGGAATTTTCTGTAATGGGCCAATTTATTTTTATAATTGCATGAGCCAGGGATAGAATCGGGTGCTCATAAACCACAGTTTTCAAAATTTGATAGTTTAATATTATTTGTAAATTTAAAAAATCGCCAGTATTGATTAGGTTATTGTTTGAAGATCAAAATCAATTAAACTATAATTTAAATCAAATTGAAAATTTAAAGATTAATGATTAAATAAATAAATATTATTATTATATTATATACGTTGAAGTAATTAATTATATTAATTTTAAATTTTAAAAATCATACTTATATTTGTTTATATAAAAGAAGTTTAATTGATGAGTAATTCTAATACAATTGAGTTATAAGAAACGTTAGATGATATATAAGATACTCAAATCCGTTTAATTAGCATTACATGTCAGTCATTCTCCATCTACAAATCGCTCACAAACAGACGGTGTAAACTGTGAACTTTTTGATTAAAAAACAATATTACGCCTGCAAAAAAAAAATAATAATAATAATAATTTAAAGCAACCAAAATAAACTTTATTTGATAACATGACCATCTAAGTAAACGCTATTAATTAATTACAATAATATTGTTTCCGTTTTAAGTTACAATTAACATCATCACCATAATGCAATTCCACCCATTTAATCTGTGTTAAAAACAACATTTTATAACCAACTAGTCTTTCTAATTTTGACGGACATCTAAATTTTAAGATTGTATTATAGCCCATTCTTCCATTGCTTTCTCTTAATCTTTAATTAACGGATCTAGATAAATGAAGACATATATTTAGTTAAAGAGGAAAGAAAGAGAAAAATTAGAAGAAAAAAAGGGATTAAAGTTATAAATGAGAGTTAGGAGAACAAAAAATAAAATTAAATAAAATAAAACCTAGTATGTATTATTTCAAAATTAGTACTTTAGCCCCAGTGATATTATCAGGAAAAAAGAAAACAATATTTAGGGGATTTCATAGACTACTGTCCTAAATTTGAACAATTTAAAAACTAAATTGCAATCTAATTTAAAACATCATGGAAAATGATAACACTAATACATTCTCCAATAAAGGGTTAACAAATATGTTCCCTGATATTTCGGAACCAAAAACATAAGTAATATTTGAAATAATTTCATTGATTGTGGCTTCAGTTTAAGAACTGCTCAGACCAAGCACATTGTTAACCATACAAGAACAGGGGTAGACAAGAATTGCAGGAGGAAGCTAATTGTACATGCATGAAGTTCGCCAAATATAAATCTAATCCGCTCAAATTCCGACGAGGGAAATTCAAAAGAAACGCAGAGACATAACATAGTGACAACCATCTCCAAAGAAATTTCCAGCTCTACAAAGCTCTATTTTCTAATCAGCATCCATTTCTTCAAGTGCGGTCCTGGCAGCCGTCTTGGCCTCCTCTAAAAGTTCATCGGGAACCTGAAGAGTTCCACAATAATGATAAAGATTTTGGTTAAATAAATAGCCCACCAGCTAACTATTTGCTCTCTAACTACTGCAAGTGAGCATGGACTCATGACTAAAACTCGCAAGCAGCTCCTGAACATAACACGACATGATAACAAAGGATCATTCATAGTTATACAGTTGGCGTCTTTTTTTTATAGTATCTAAACTTTATTTTTTTTATTAATTAAATATTTGGACGAACAATTTTGTTTTTATTTAAGTGCATTTGATTGGATGAGATATTGGAAAATTAAAATAAATGCAACTGATTTCGTACCGAAACATACACCCGCTTCATCTTTCTTCCTTCAATTTTTTTTTCCCCCTCTTTCTATTCCTCAAATATCTCCTTTTTCTCTAAATAATTTCCAGAATTTCTTCTAGTTTTCTCTCATATTCCAAAAATAGAATATGAAACTCACAAAAATGATATGGAATGAAATGAAACAACAAAGATTACAATCTGCAGAAATAAATGGAGGGGTGGGATAAAATAGTTCACTTTAATAGTATATTTACTTATTGATAAAACTTAAAGGTGCGACGTGGAAATAGAAAAATTGCTTTAGTCCAAAAACCAACTCTATAATTATACCTATAATGCATGGTTTCTTTGTTCCTACATCAGAAATAGGTGTTTTTCCTCATATACAAAGCCCCATAAAATATGCAAATTAACCCGGAGTATACTAGCATCTGTTTTCTCCACATTCAGTTTTATTGTTAAGTTATGCAAATTAATAAATCCAAATGCTGGACTGCAAATGCCAGAACTAGCAACAAATTGCTTTCAACTGCCAAAGAAACTGAAGCCTTTATTTGAAGCCTTTTTATTCAGATGAAGAAAACAAAATGCTCCTGCTCTACCACAATCATGAACAACAAAGAAGTATTGGGCCAGAAATTACCTTCTGATGCAGTCTCTTTGACTCATCACAAACCCAGCTCATTTCCAGTTCAAACTGCCAAAGAAACTGAAGCCTTTATTTGAAGCCTTTTTATTCAGATGAAGAAAACAAAATGCTCCTGCTCTACCACAATCATGAACAACAAAGAAGTATTGGGCCAGAAATTACCTTCTGATGCAGTCTCTTTGACTCATCACAAACCCAGCTCATTTCCAGTTCAAAGGCCTTGTCTTTTGCTTCATCATGCACCTTGTAGATGCTGCTCGAATGATATGGAAAAAATCAAAACACAACTAGCAATGAAGTACAAAAGCACATTCATTCACACTGAATTCTTCCTCCCCACTTTAGATTCAACCCTCTTTCTATTTATTGATATAACAATCAAGATTTGTGCCTAACAAGGGCAGGTGTCTCAAGATGTTTGCCTAGCAATGAAATGGATCCTTATTTCATAGACATCAGTATGCGCTAGGCAACAAAGCCACCTTAAGCAAAAGATGAAAAGAATTCTACTTAAACATTATTAGCAGCATGGAAAAAGGAAAAGGAAAAAGCAAAATAGAAAAACTAAAGTTCATCTCATGTCTCTGCTTGGATGGAGTCTTTAGTAAATATTTCTTCTCTTACCTTACGTATATGTAATTTACTTGAGAACAGCAATAGAAGAGTAATATATTGCCTGCATGGCTAACAAATGGCTTCTAGCCACCCTGACCTCTCAAGAGCAATTGATGAATTTTTAAAATTTAGCTATGAGAAATTAATTTCAGTCCTAGATTTTTTCTGTTCCCTTTCTGTAACAAACATAGCTTATTTGATTAGAAATTAATCATAGGAATTTAAAGAAAGATGGTGCAGGTTCAAAGAACAGATACAATCAACAAATAAGAACTCATAGACTGCAGCATAATTCAAAAAGAGGAAGAGAACAAATTTTGTTCGGAGGGCAGAACGCAAGCCTTACATTTTGGCTACTTCAATAACCCCTTCTCGGCATGTCATTTCAGAAAGCTTCAACTTTTCGATTTCTCTGTCAATACCATTCATTCCATCTTATTAGAAATGAAAAGGAATGCAAAATCTGGTTATATGCAATGTTAATATCATGAGAAAAGCAATGTATCATAAATCAAATAAGGGAGATAAAAGATAAGATCATATTTTAGCAAGATAAATTCCACAACCAAAATAGGTTACTTCCTCAGTTACCTAACTTGAGATGAGAACATTTCACCCAAATATATTTACCTTGATAACCATAGTGCACATCACTATCTTCCATATTTAACGAGAAAAATTAAACCCAGCAAAACATAACATCCATGTCTAAGCACAATATCATTGGTATGATGAGATGAATGTTATTATTATATGGTTAAATAAATTCACCTTCACCCAAAAAAAAAAAAAAAAAAAAATTCACCTTCACCCAAAAAAAAAAAAAAAAAAAAAAAAAAAAAAAAAAGAGAAGGACATGACAACTTACGTTTTAGCATTTTGCTTCCCCTTCCCAATTGCAGCACCGAAATATCTCTATATCATTTTTTTTGAAGCAAAAATGTAAATTATAAGAAATTCCAATAACACAACTATCAAATACATACCAAGTAAAAAACAAGTAATGGCAATCATAACTTATACGGAAAGAATCAAAATAAAGCTTTATTAAGTGCAATGCAACCTACGTATGATATTCCAGATGGCTCAATCATGTATAATTGGGGTCCATCTCTGTCATAACCACCGAGGATTACCCCGCAACCAAATGGCCTGCAACATTAACAACTTTAGTTAAGTGATTATAGTTATGAGCCAGAAATGCACAATTTAAGAATCATAGTTTTCCTTACCTAAGCCACCAGTAGAGGGTACATAAATGCACATAACTGGCAACACGATCAGCAAGTTCCTTCACAGGAATGGGTTCACCATAAACACTAAAAATTGGGAGAAATAAAAATAAAAAAAAAAAAAAAAAAAAAAAAAAAAAAGAAAAAAAGGGATTAAGGTTCGCCAATACTTGGAGGCACAGCAAGAAGTAGAATTTAAAGTAGAATGTGAGATGGGACACTGAAGGATTTACCGTTTTCAGCCTAACCAAACATTTTTTCATTCTAGAATAATAACCATAAAAACAAAGTTTTCACATAATCATGAATACTTTCTTTTAAATATCAAGTAGGCCTTTAGCATGAGAAGAAGACACACGTTCAAACAGCAAACAAAAAAAAAAAAAAAAAAAAAAAAAAAAAAAAGGATTAAGGTTCCCAATACTTGGAGCACAAAAAAGTAGAATATTAAAGTAGAATGTGAGATGGACACTGAAATTTACGGTTTCAGCCTAACCCAAACATTTTTCATTTCTAGAATAATAACCATAAACAAAGTTTTCACATATCTAATCTTTCTTTTAAATATTCAAGTAGGCTTTAGCATGAGAAAGAAGACACACAGTTCAAACAACAAACCTTTCATAGTTAGTTGCTTCCGACTTTGCTCTTGCAACAATTTGTCTCCCATCAGCTGCTAAACCAGCAACAGCCTGTATTTGAAGATAGATTGAGAAGGAGAGAAAAAGAATTAAAGAATCAGAAGTATAAACACACTGATCAGCACAGTGAGAAAATGAAAGCAACCACAAGTCAAGACACCGGACAAAAATGATCTAAAAATTCCAGCAATTGGAAAGTAAAAAATCACATGCACTTCAGGAGTACACGGAGCACATAAGCAATACCTTATGAGCTATACTTATATTTAACAGTTAGTGAAAGTAAAATAATTGCTAGTGTGTATAACAAGTGTTTTTTGTATGCTTCAAACAGCACCTCACCTATGCTTGAAATAGTACTTCCCTCAAAATCTAAGAATTAAATAAAAGATAGTTTTCCACTCTTTAATCCTTATGCTTTATCTGAATGGGAGCACATGAGAGGCGTGGCATACACATTTTGAGAAAAAGCAGTTAAGAAATGCGTTTTCATCCAATTTGCAGTTAAAATTTTAAAGTGAGAACAGATATTATAGTGAGATCATAACAGAAGTGGCGAATTGTATTATTCCTACAACCCAAAATGCGTTGCATAACTGTTAATATTTTGCTAACTGCAAATTTGTTTTATGAACAAAGTACTGCATCCAAGTCCCAAAGCAAGAAACACAAATGAATATAGACAGAAATTGAGTACATCGTCAACTGGTATCTGACCAACAATCATCATTAAGGAGAACTTAAGTTAGAACGTCACATTCTCCAAAAAATTTCTTCTTGCACAGACACATAAAGAATTTATTCAAAAGGCACAAGACATAATTACTTGTATGAAAATGTCTATGTAAGGTTAGAAAACTAATAAAAAGTTTCTCCATCAAAAGCCTTCCAACGAGACATAAACACACAGGTCAAGTTTAAGTTTACCAAATAGTTCCTTTCTCAAAAGCAATATCATTTGTTTCAGTCCATGCCCAAATGCATTTCAGTTTCATTTACTCAAAATTTTTATTAGCATTAACCATATACATTGTTCATGGCTCATTTCACATGAAAGACAACCCATTTAGTGGATCATCAGGTTAAGCTAAACAAAAACAAGGCGATATAGACGTTGAAATTATGTGTAAAAGTCGGGGGCTACATGAAGCCCAGATCATGTCAGATGGGAGAGTAATGACACTAATGTGTTGACTTGTGTTGCCAAAGATGATCATAAAAATCCGCAAAACATGTGGACAAGCTTTGTAAAGCACAAATAACAATAAACTAAACGAGTAAGACAGACAATTTACAAGTAAAAAGAGCAAAGCAAAATAGTACCATGCCAGAATGACGATGAACAGAGTGTATTCTCCTGTTGGAACCCGGCAACATCATTTTAGATGCTATAAGCTTCTCCACACCCTAAATTCCAAAGAAAATTTATAATTACAATTCTAAGATGAATGTAAAACATTCCAAATCAACACTGAACTGAAAGAAAAAGAGGAGCAAAATGGAAGAAAATAAAGAAATTTACCAAAACGATCCCGTCCTTACACTTGATTCCAATAACAGTACTGCAACAGAAAAGGTTGTTCTAAACATCAAAAAAAAGGCAACATAACTAGGAAAAAAACCCTAATGCAGCTCAACATTTCCTCGAGCTGTCACTAAACCTACTTTAAAATCAAATCCTATAGTTAGTGATAAGAAAAATCAATGGTTGAAGACAGTAATTTCCTCGGGAAAACAAACAGAAATATGATATTATTAGAGAGTAAAGACAGGACCCGCTGTTATCGACGGCTTTGGCAGCGTATTCGATCTGGAAAACGCGGCCATCAGGAGAGAAAGTAGTGACTGAGAGATCGTAACCTGTTCCTATGCTACTCATCGTTTTAGCCTTCGCTCTGCTTTTTGCTTCCTTTGAATGTTTGCGAGCGTTTGGCTGTGGTTTTAGCTTCTTAATACAGAGTTTTCTTCGATCTCAAGACAGAAAGCAAGAAGACGCAGAGAGAATAAAACTTGTGTTGGTTATGGGCCATGGCCCATAAGATGAGAAGTTGTATTTATAAGATAGGCCCATGGGCTAAGTTCGTATTTTATGAGATGGGCTCAATTCTAGTGCATTAGGCTCCCGAAATTGCAAACTCAATTTAGGGCTGGTTTCTGCCTTTTCTAGAAAAAAATTGGCCGGTTTTAGGAGCCGGTTTCGGTGGAGCATTAGAATCAAAGGAAAAAACTTATCAACCCGCGCAGATCTACTTAGGCGCCACCATGGTTGCACAACCCTTCGATTACAATTATAAAAATAAATAAATTTAAAATTGAACCATTTTTAAACCGTTTTTAAGATGATTTTAGCACCGGCGGTTCTGATTTTATTCCAAAATTATATAATATATTTCAAGCTTTTTAAGATTCTTTTTAAATTTATAGTTTGAATAAATAATAACAATAAATATTACTACTGAACAAAATTGAACTAATAAAAATTCTTTAAAAATTTATCTTAAAAAATTATAATAAAAAAATTGAGATTTTCTTTTAAATCATGTTTTTCACAGTTTAAAATTGAAACCATCGGTTTTCCACTAGTTTTAGATCAAAATCATCGATTCCAAATTCAAAAAATTAAGAATCGAAATCAAAACTTAAGTATGAGATTTCAATCACAGTTAAATCACAATTTAGAACTTGAAACCATTGACCACGATTTAATATTAATTTTTGATAATATATAATAATAAAATTATATCAAATAATAATGTATAAATATATACCGAGGAATATTAGAATTTCATGTAAACTCTAACTAACAAATAACGTAGAATTCTCACAATTCATATCCTAATAGAATTTATCTTGACCCTAATATATATACCCCAAATTTACTCTAAACAGGGAAGAATTCTAAAATACTCTCAATCCTCAATTTTGATAGTTAACAATTGGTGCAATGCATGGAACACACCTTTTCACCCTAAAAATTCCCCCGATCCCTTTTCACTTTTGAAAATTATGGTTAACGATTCCAGGGATCGCCCTACCATGGAAGGGTAAGGCAGTGGCCGCGTCGAAGCAACCATGCAAACCATATTAGTTTATCCACCAACAATTGATCCTCATGTGGTGGCAGCCTTAGCCCAAGCTTACTCTCAGTTCACTACTGTGCTAAAGCGCCTCCTAAAGACCCCATATCCTAACGACGAATTAACACCACCAGACAGGCCACCGAATCCTCTCAACCAATTAACACCACCAGACAGGCCACCAAATCCTCTCAACCAAGAACATAGCATACCTCTGCCATCCCCCTAGTCACAAAGTCATCTAATATCTGAACGATTCCAAGAAGCAGAATCGAAGGCGAACCCTAACGTAACCACCCCTGGCAGTCAAGAATCGAGCCACACTCAACCAGTCTTGGATAGTGCTAATCTTTGTAACGTTGTTAAAGAGTTGGTTAGAGAATGTCGGGAGACAAGAAAGGCAGGAGATTACGGTCTCCGACATGATTTGCCATTGTCAGCCAATATCCTAGGTGCAGCATTTCCTCTAAAATTCAAAATTTCGACCTTCCAATTATACGATGGGTCTACAGATCCTTGAAATCACCTGACAATCTTTCGAATTGTGATATATCTCCAAACCAGCTCAGAGGACCTCATATGCAAAGTCTTTCGATTACATTAAAAGAGGCAGCTCAGTAATAGTACCAAATACTCAAAACATGGTATATTCATTCATTCTCCCAGTTAGCCACAGCATTGCGAGCTCAGTTTATAACGTGTGTACCGCCTAGGAACACATCATATGCCTGGTAGACTTGAAAAGAGAGGAGGGAGAGACCCTAAGGCAATACGTCTCCAAGTTTCAAAGAGTGGCAATGCAGGTGAAGAACCTAAATAATGAAGTGGCGATCAGAGCTATGACAAAGAATTGTAGGTACAACAAATTGTTTGAAAGTTTAAGTATAAACCCTCCTCTAATTTTTGCTGAACTCATGGCACGAGCCCATAAATACACGAAATTGGATGGAGCCTATGAGGTTCAACAACGTAGATCGCCCAAGGAAGAGAAGCACAGGCACAGAAGACATCCCTCTCTAATAAGGAGACGATTGCCTATTCGTATACTGTTAGAACACCATATTCAAGGGATGACAAACTGCAGCCAGACTGAAAGTTCACTCCTTTGAACAGGTCTTGCTCGAAGATATTGTCTTAGGCCAGCAGATGAGGTGAACAAATTCAGCTCTATTACCTCAGGAAAATGAAGGAAGATACCTCGAGCTACCATGACAAGAGCAAATATTGTGAGTTCCATAGAAATGTTTGCCATGAAACTGAGGCATGTTGGCAGTTAAAAAAAGAGATTAAACATCTTATGCAAAAGGGCGAACTAAAAGAATTTATGGGGAAAGCCCGAAAAGAAACTGAGGAGAGGGGTAAGCAGGTGAAAGAATGTCACATCCTAAATACAATCCACACTATCTTTGGGGGTTCCTCAGAAGGCGACAGCAGTTTAGCTCGGAAAAGGAGAGCTAAGGAAATTTATTCCATTTTACCGACGCCAACGGTGAACATGTACATGCCCCACACAATAATGCCCTAGTTTGAGGGGGTCTTGGAGAATTTCCTAGTAAAGAGAATCTTGATAGATGAAAGCAGTGCGGTTAACCTATTGACTATGGAACTCTTTGAGGCTTTGAAATTAGACCAGGCAAGACTGAAGCCTATTCAAACCCCACTGGTTAGCCTAGCCGAAAAGCCTATGCAAGTGTCTAGATCGATAGAGATCTCCTTGGAGATCAAAACATAAGACTTGTTGGGAAAGCTCAAGTCAAAATTCACGGTGGCAGATATTCATTTTCCTTACAACACCATACTTGGTCGACTGGCCCTGTAAAAACTAAAGGCAGCCAAGTGTATCAGGTACCTCATTATGAAATTTATCTCTGATAAGGGCTAGGTTGTTACTATGAGGGGAGATTAAAAAACAGCTCAGACATACTTAGTTCACCATTAGGACTTAAGCGATCCTTTATTTAAGTCTAATAGTTTGGACATACATAACTCGCTAGAATGGACCTAAGCAGTCCTTTATCTAAGTCCATCAGCTCAGATATACTTAGTTTGCCATTAGGACTTAAGCGGTCCTTTATCTAAGTACAGCAACTCGGATATACTTAGTTCACCATTCAAACTTAAGTGGTCCATAAACAATCCATTAGTTCGAACATAACCAATTTTCTAGTTCGGATTTAAGGGGTCCATAAATAGTCCATCAGTTCAAACATAAACAGTCCATCAACTTAGACTTAAGTAGTCCACACATTCAAGCCTAAGCAGCTCACCTAGTTCGAACTTAAACAGTTAAGCCAATTTAAACGGACTTAAGCAATCCATCTATTCGAGCTTGAGCAACTCACTCATATAGACTTCAGCAGTCCATCTATTCTAGCGTAGGTAGCTCACCTATTCAAACTTAGGCAGTGCACCTATTCGAGCTTAACAGCTCACATTTAAGCAGTCCCCAATAAATTCGAACTTAAAGCAGTTCACGTCGAGGTAAAGCAACTCAACATTTAAATGGACTTAATCCACCTATTCGGACTTAAAACAGTACATTCATTCCAAATTAAGTAATTCAACCACAACACTCTACCAGATATAACATCTGTTGAACATAACCAACTCCTTTTGGGGACCACTAATAATATATAATAATAAAATATATCAAATAATAATAAATAAATATATATTGAGGAATATTTGAATCCCAAATAAACTTTAACTAAGAAATACATGTAGGATCCTCACAATCCTTATCCTAGTAGATTTATTTTGACCCCAATAAATATTATCCCAAATTTACTCCAAGCAGGGACGAATTCTAAAATACTCTCAGTCCTCAATTCTGATAGTTAACAGTTTTGACTGAATCGATTTTGATTCGATTCCGATTTTTTATCTACTTATATATGAATCCAATTCAAATGTTTCTCCTCTCATTTTTCATTAAAAAAAAAAAGATAAACTGGTAAAAAAAGCAATAATTTTTTAAATGACAATTAATTATTAATTTTGTATATAATAGGTTCATACATCGTAAATAGGAAAGTTTTTTCTACAAATCAAATTATTATTTTTGGAAGTGTTTGCTTTGATGGGAAATGACAAATTGATTCCTTCAACACCTCAGCTAAATGTAGGAACCAAAGATAGAATTGGAAACTAAAATCCAAAGTCAAATGATTATTTTTGGAAGTGTTTGATTAAAACTTCCGCTAAACATAGGAATTCAAAGTTAGTTGTGTCCAGATACGTTGGTAATTCGAATTGGGAAGACTTAGAAGTGTTGGATTTGATAACTTATTTTTTAATTTTTGATGTAGGGCGGTTTGGTTTAATTCTTTATGCGAGCAACAATTGCTAATAACCGATAATTAAAAGTTTTTTTTTTAAATTATTACCACCAGTATTCTCATACCTTTTAAGTATTTTTGACATTATTCTCATTTTGGAATCCTTGTTGCCTCTTCGCATGAACGGTTGTCCCTTCACATGAGTACTTTTTCTGCGGATTGAACCCTAACTTTTCAAAGAATTGTATAATTGCTTTTATATATTATGATTAAAATGTGTATTTTTTTTTATTTTTTAAAGTAAATATTTTAACGTGCTATATAAATAAAAAAATACTAATTAAATGTTTCCAAAAAAAATATAATAGAAATTTATTTTTAAAAATAATTGTAAATTAAAATTATCGCAAATAAATATTAGTTTGAATGAAAAATTACTAGTAATTTTTTTATAAGATTAATAAAGTCCAAATATAATATAAGTACAACTTAGTTACCAGATGAAAAAAGAAAACTCCTCATAATATAACTGATTCTTGTGTCAACTACCTCCTGTTAATTAAAATCTTTACCAAATATATATAACCTAGCTATTCAATGTGAATTATCTATCTATCTATGATATATATAAAAGTATGAATGA